AAACTTTTCTGGCGAAAATGAAAATTGACCTAATTTCGGACTTACATGGTTTGCAATTGCCACCGTCAATACAACATGGTGTTCAAGAATCAGGGACCGTTTGTGTGTGCAATACCTCTCTTACAAATAGATCAGAGTTTTAGTTAAGTCTTTAACATAGACATTCCAAACTGAGTCAGAAGCTTGTGTTTTGTGCATGGTGTACAGTTCAAGTTGATCTCAAGTATTTGATGAAGTAGGTTGTGATAGAGAAGCAATAACAGCTCGTTTCAGGTTATTCAGTTAGATGCAAGATATAGATATGATATATATGCAAACTCTGAATACCTTACTCCCGGAAAAAGTTGGGCTGTATAGTGTTAAAAACCCACACTGTCTATACTAAGGCTCTGCCTTTATTCTTTAGCAGGTTGGTATCGACTGATGATATCTTTCTACCTCTCACTTGATGAGTTTGCTTTTTTAAATCAATGAGCAGAATAAATCTGAAAAAATAAAAACAAATTATGAATTTTTTTTTTTGTGGCTTTTCTTTTTTAGTTCTATTGACATTATTTGTTGCCAGGACTGCTGTATAATTATCCCAATGGAAACAAATGACCAGACCACAAATTTGAAATTATTTACAGTGCAGCCTCTCTATAACGACCTTCGATATAACGACATCCTCTGTATAGCGACATGCTGCCCAGATCCCAATTTTTTCCTTAATATATCATATCATACTTAATTATTTTGGTTGCCTCTCTATAACGACAACTCTCTATAACGACATTTTTTCTGGTCCCGACAATGTCGTTATAGAAAGCCCTACTGTCGAACCTGTCCCAGATGACCACCCATTGTCCAGCAGTATAGTTGTCACCGTAGTGACATAGATAGACAATGGGGGTGGCTGGCGAGGGCTCTGGTGTGGTGCCGGTTCCATAAACTATTTTTTTTCGGTAAGTGTTTTACCTCGCTCGCAACTGCATAAGGTCAAATGAGCGCGCGGGTCACACCAAACATTTTCAGTTGGTAGGAAATTTTGAATTTTGCCCGGATGGCAGCCGAAGCCTACTCTTATCGATTTTAGATCACCAAGGGATCTTTAACGTGCGCAACTTGCACACGAGACCTCCAAGATTTTTTAGCCCTTGTCCGAGAAAGGCTAGGTATAGGTCTTTCCTACCAGAAGATCAGGGGTGTGACTGAAAGACTGCAGTAAAAAGGAGCCAAGAAGCAGCAGTAGAAAGGCTGCAAAAAGAGTCAAGCACCTAGAGGAGGGGGGAAAGGAGGTGAGGAGATGGGGGAAGAGAATGGAGACGAAAGCAGACAACAGAACATTGTTGGAGAGTAGGATAGGAGGTAAAAGGAGACACATTTAGAGAAGAAAAATTTTCCGTCGCTACCCAGATTCGAACCCGGAACCTTTGAATGAGAGGCGAACATCTTAACCTCTATGCCACGGGAGCCCCTGGTTCCATAAACCCCACACGCTAGATACACTCTTGGTTTATATAGAACAATATGAATTAAAACAGCTATGCAGGCACTACGCACGTTAGCTCAGTTGGTATCGTGCTGGACTATGGAGCAGATGGCTTGGGTTTAAATCCAAGTCTAGGCATTCTTGAACCCAAGTAATTTTTTGGAGTTTTTAGGGCTCTCAACTCAACCCGTTTGGCTCGGTCCTATTGGTGACGGATGTTAAATTCGGAGGTCCCGCCTCTTAGATCATCTGATAGTGTTGATAGGGGCATTAAACACACACTTGCTCACTTTATTTATACAGCTTACATTTAACAGGAAGATGAAACTACTTCTGGCTAACACTTTTATCTTACTTACTTACTTTTTCATCCTCTGTTGTCGTTATGCGTCGAGGGGTGATGCAGTTTTCTATGGTAGGCCAGCTCCGCAGCTCTTTCAGTTGTGATATTATGTTTTCTCAGGGTTTCCTTGACACCATCGATCCACCTTTTGCGTGGCCTTCCTCTTCCTTTATAGCCTTAGTGCTTGGTTTTGTTGGCTCTCGAGGCTGGTTGGCCTGGTGACATACGTAACAGGTGGCCAAACCATTTTATTCTCTGTCTTTCTATGTAATGCAGGCAGGACTCAATGCCGATAGCTGCTCTTACTTCTTCATTTCTCTGCCTGTCTCGTCTTGTGATGTTAAGGGTTTTGCGGAGACTGAAACTTTTACCCCCCCCCCCCCCCTGGGGGCGATGCTACTGACTGAAGTGTCTTCAGGCCATTTCTAAAGGGGGGGACATTTCTCGTTCATGCACAGTAGAATTGTAAATGGGCTGATTCATCAATGTCACGCTCATAACTGTGCCTGATCAATGTCACGCTCATAACTGTACGTGATCTACAGCAGGGAACTGCTGCTTTTTCTTTCCTAATCCTTACTATTGTCATTTTTCCTCTACTTCTTTTGTATGTTTGTCACACTCTTATGATCTTCTATTTCCGGGGTGCCTTGGTAGTCGAAGCAGACTTTATGCTGTTGAAGTTAGGGAGGTGAGTAGAGTAAGTCTGATTCCCCGTCAGGACTTCTCTGTTGACATCCACTCCTTGGCGTTCATATGACCGTATGCAGTTGCGAGCGCCGTAAAATCTCTACTAAAACTAAAAAACATTCTTGATCCTTACAGAAGCCATAGCACAAGGATGAAAAAGAAATTTAAAAAATCTAACATTTCATCTTGTGGGTTTCATAATCTTCACAGCAAATGTCGGTCAAGAACCTATTATTATGCACTGTTTCTAAAATCAAAAGAGAAAGGCATGCAAACAGTAAGTTTGCAAAACAGAGTTTTTTATTTCACATCTTATGTGGGTGGTTGGCGGGTGCTCTGGTGTGGTTTGCTTCTTCTTTCCTATCAAACACCTATCGTCCTTATCTCCACTCCTTCTTTTTTATGTTTGTTACTCTCTTGTAACACCTCTAATCTTCTGGCGCTCATGTGACCTTATGCAGTTGCGAGCGCCGTAAAACCTCTACGTAAAAAAAAAAACCCTTAAAAAACCCACATCTTATTGTAGAGCGAGTTGATGACTAGTTAATGTGATCCATAACAACAGAAAGAGAGAGAGAGGGAATAATTGTTTTTCTTGTTGTGTGAGTGTGTGTGTGTGTGTGTGTGTGTGTGTGTGTGTGTGTGTGTGTGTGTGTGTGTGTGTGTGTGTGTGTGTGCGCGCGCGCGTGTGTGTGTGTGTTGGGGGGGGGGGGGGGAATGATGGGGAGGTTGATTTACATTCCGGCCCATTTATTCTGAACACCAACTTAAGGAACTATCTAAAATACTTTTTTGGGGGGATTAAATATTACAACTTTTAATCTTATTTCTTTCCTCGTGTTCAGATTCAGGTACATTGTTTCAGCAACCGCAGCACATTCCAGGATACGATTTTGAAAAGTGGTAAAGCTGTGTATTTATAACAACATGCTTATGTTATGTAGGCCTATGTCCATATACTCAGCTCAAATTGTCTTCATCGAATGCCTTTCCCAGTTACTCGAAAAAATGTATCAACGTACTCATAACTAACTCTGTATATTCATGGCTAATTTGCAATACTACCAGCAGACTTTGACACCCCATTACTACAAAGGCCCCAGGTGACCATTATTTCAATATAAGCTGGCACGCTCCACGTCTTGGTCCAGTCTGACTGAAGACAAAGCCAAGGCCTACGCTTCTCATACGAAGTTTCCCTTAGATAAAAAATACAAGATGACAACTTTCGCCATTTTCACTCTTGTCTCTGTCCTGGCTGCCACTCAAGCCTGCCGTGAGTTTTTATAGTGCGGTCAAAAATCCGTGGCGCAACTTATCCTCAAATATCTCAATTTCATCCATACTTTGCACATCCGTTTGTATCAATATCTCTTAGCTTAATCATATTTTTTTTCCCAACAAATGAGGTTAGATAAAAAATCGTTTCTTCATAAGTTCATATAAAATACTACAAAAATCTCCTTCGCGCTGAAAATGGAGTTGTTCACAGCACTTCCCGCTTCTCACACATTTTTTTTTGTGTGCATACGATTACATGTATATGGCCTACGTCACAGCTCACCAATGACACTTTTTAGTGGCAAAGCTACATGTAGTTACAAGAAATTAATTTTATAGTGAACACTTTTTTTGCACTAAAAGTTCTCAAAACATGCGTTCAATAAGCATAGTATAGCGATTAGAAAAAACGTGACCGACTTACTTTTAATAGCGATATTGTCCTGGCTGTAAACCTTTAAAATCTGTAAAAACTACCCACTAGGAATTTTTTATTACTATTTATTAAGGGATTTTCTAGAATAGAGCCAGCAGGTGTTTATAAAAATACTGATCTGTTAAGACAAATGGATACAAGTCATTGTGCAAAAGCTGGAGAGTTTTAATTTCGATAGTATAGGAAATATTTGACAATTAGTTGCCCCACTAATTTTTTACCACACTATAGTATAGTTATAAATTTGATATTTCCTTTAATTTAAGAATCATCACCATCATTGCCTTTCTCTCCATTCGTCAGGGTACATGTATAGGCCATGAACACTTTCTATCTTTACCTATCCTGGGCTAGCCTCTTGATGTTATTCCACGTCTTCCTACTTTTCTGAACATCAATTTCTGTGACCCTTCTCCAGGTTCCACATGGTCTTCCTCTTGATCTTCTACCCCATGGGTTCCAACCCAATATTATTATTTTTTAAAACAAACTCAAATGAGAATAGTAATAATAATAATAATAATAATGATAATAATAATATGAAGAAGAAGAAGAAGAAGAAGAAGAAGAAGAAGAAGAAGAAGAAGAAGAAGAAGAAGAAGAAGAGGAGGAGGAGGGGGAGGAGGAGTAGGAGGAGGAGGAGGAGGAGGAGGAGGAGGAGGAGGAGGAGGAGGAGGAGGAGGAGGAAGAAGAAGAAGAAGAAGAAGAAGAAGAAGAAGAAGAAGAATTAACGTTCCCCCACCTTTATACTACGTATTATATTTCATCTTCAGACATGCAAGAGTACTGTAGTATTGTCAACGTAGCCAGCTGGCAATACGCTTACGCCGAAAAGACAGTGCCTGAAATCAAATGGATAACCTCCATGACGCCCTCCAAACAGCAGTCTGCCGCCCAGTGCACACAAGGGACGAGCTATGGATTCGCTAAGGATCTCATGTGGGTCGACAAAGGCTGCCGGGCTGATTTCCAAGTGTGTTACCTCGCAGGTAAGGACTTTTTCTTTTTGTTTTTTGTGTTGTTTTTTTTGTTTTGTTTTTGATAAGTGTTTCACGGTCCTCGCAACTGCATAAGGTCATATGAGCGCGCGGGACACATTAAACTTTTTCAGTTGGTAGGACATTTTAAAATTTTGGCCGCTTTTGCGGTCAAAGCCTACTCTTATCGATTTTGGACCACCAAGGGGTCTTTAACGTGCTCAACTTGCACACAGACCCTCCGAAAAACTTCTATATTTGTCACGACGTTGTGGAATCAGGCGCTCGTCAATTTTTGGTCATGTGGAGTTATTGATACCATCTGAAATCTTTATTCATTTGCCGTGTTTTCAAAGAAAAAATTATCCATCTAGATTGAATAATAGAAGTCGAGATATTTTCGATAGAAGAAGGGGGTATAGCCTGGTTTCAGTGGTTAAATTAATGAGGAAATGGCCGCCAAAGTTTGGTAACTTCAATAGCTGAAGAGTCCTTGACAACTGAAAATTACATATTTTGTGCCTTTAAACAAGGTTTTTAAAAAATGTAAAATTCACATGGAAATGTGTTTTCATAGGAACGTAAAAGGTGTTTAGCCAAAAAAAAACCCAAAAAATTTCTATAAAGATTGCAAAACTGGTGGGAAAATGCCTTTTTCTTCGATTTCATTATTTTGACGAGCGAGCGTCTGATTTCACCCCATATTAATTTCTTTTCTCGCTTCCAGGCAACTGCTGGAAGACCAACGTGAGCAGCTGGAAGTACAAGTTCTTTACCCAGGTCCTTGATGGTGTGAGCTGTATCTACTCTATGAAAGTCGTCAAACAGATCTCTGCAGCAGACTGTCAACTTGGCTCGACTTTTGGCTTCATAGCTAACAATGTCTGGGTAGACAAGGGCTGCAGAGCTGATTTTGAAATCTGCTATTTGTAAATCTCGTTCTTTTCTGCCCAATGCCATGTGATGAAGTAGTTTTTGTTTTAAATTCAAAGCATTGAATAATAAATCTCAAAACGTTCTAAAAATGA